GGCGTTCCTTCCGACGCCCCTCCTCCTGTTGCTGCCGGAGGAAACGGATCGTGACCATGCCCCGGCGGACGGGCCAATCCGAAGCCAACGAATCTATCGATCGCTCTCTATAGATAGAGCGAACGCGCGCGATTAAGATATATAGCGATCTACCTATATCGATCTCTATCAAGCAATGGAACCTTAGGTGAAAAGTCTCCGGAGACGGAGCGACGCAAACCACCCGAGTTGGTAGGCCACTCAGGGCGTTAGAAAGAATCCGCGAGGGAGGGGGTAGGCGAGAAAAGGAATGGGGTCGTCAGGCACACACATCGCATCGGAATCCCGTCTTCCACGCGGGAAGGGGGGGGGGGGGGGGGGGAATAAATTAAAACGCGGCCCAAAGCTTCGCTCAGAAGGCCAGGACTAGTACAGTGGTTTCATGTGAGATTCTAAAGGGAATTAAACCAATCGGGAAAAAAAACACCACCAAAGTCATCGACGATTCAAGTGCCATAAGGCTCATCGATCCATCATCTGTTTAGGGTTACTCTGTCTCTGTGAATTAAAGGGGATTCTTGTGCGTGATTTTCAAATAATTCCGAGCGATCGGTAGGGCAAGTTCGTTGACTAGTTTAAAAATATGCGCCTTACTGGGAGGGCACTTCTCGCACAACTCCGCCATGGAAACCCACTCCACCCTCTCGAACTCTCGTCGAGCCTTGAGATTCTTGGGAGGGATCACCACCACCTTTTGGATAATATCGCGAGGGGCGTAGAAGAGGAGGATGCGCTGCTCTTGACCAATAACTTTATATTTCTTCCTTAAGGATTTGGATTTATACCGGAAGACGGTCGGATCCCCGTTTGGGGGCGGAATCTCCTGCACCAGTTCGACGTCGTGCGGAAGGAGGCCAATTTCCTCCTTTATCTCGCGCAATCCCGCCTCCACGATGTTATTCTGTTCATGTTCTTCAATCCCGCCCTGCACACATTGATATTGTCCGTTGTCTATCCGAACGCAGCCCAGGAAGTCCAAATTATCGGTAAAGATAAAACAACAGACGTTTTTGCGGTACATAGGGGAGGCTGTTTAATTATCGTAATAATATCCCCAGCCAATGGCTTGATTACTCGCTCGGTTGAAGCGATAGATTTATGTACAAACAGGTGGGCGAGAGGGGAATCGACGCAACTTTCAAAACAAAGAGAAAACCGAGAATATAAAATGTTAGAGCAATGCGCAAGTTTCAATCAAAGCATTACGGGTAGAAGTTAATCGATCACAATTCAGAAGCTTTACTCAGGCGAAAGGTAGCAGGATTCCCTGGAGGCAGACTAATCATACAAGAAAAGAAGGGGTCTCTCTTTATTAAAAAAATTCTTATTGGTCTTTCCTTTCACGATTCCTCCTCCGATTCACCGCTAAACGAGCGATAGTACTTCCGCCGGAAGTCGTAGCTTTCGATGAGTTGCGTCGCCTGAGGGCTGGGCTCCCCGCTTTTCGAGGCCGCGATCGCGACGACGTCGGGAAAGCGCTGTTGCGGGAATTCCCTCGCCCCCCCGGGCTCATTGCGGGGCAACCACCGGCCGTACGTCTGCGCGGGATTTTTTCGCACCCACGGCACCACCAACTTCGCCTCCGCGAGCTGCTCGAGGATGAAATCCGCGTAGGGCTCGCAGTCGGTGAAGGTGACGAACCCGCGTGGGTCCTCCGCGGTGGTGCGAACCCGCAACACGCGATGCACCGCGCACAAAAAATCCGCGGTGATCAGCCGCTGATGGCTGTTTCGAGCGCCCCAAAACGGGGTCGGCATCGGCGCCACCACCCCATCCGCGCACCCCGCCGGGAGCAGCCGAAGGCAGGCGAAGATCGCCTCGCCGCGGAGAAAAAAAAGGCGACCGGCGTGGCGCGGCAGCAGCGCTTTCGCGGCCGCCGCGATCGCCGCGAGGGAGCGCTCCACGACGAGCAACCCGTGCGATTCGTCGTGCGCGAGTTGGCGCGCGAGGTAGGCGGGGCTTTTCCCGCCGCAAATCACCACCGCCCGCGCGGTCGTCGTCGTCCAGGGCGCGAGGAATTCCCGTCGGAAGGCCTCCACGAAGGCGGGG